AGTCACTATCGTATATCTATCTTTTATGCCACGTCACAAGGCGTGCGAAGAACAGAACGAAAAAATACATATCACTATCGCGTATAGCGAAAGATATGCGGCAGTATCGATAATCATCTCATCTCTACTATAAACTAATGATTTGAACTTTGGATTTTATACTGAAATAGTCAAAACTTTTGTTTAGTGCTAGAAACTTCGGTGGACTTGGAAGTTTATGTATTAAAGCCACTACCAATTGAAATAAGTTTCCTTCAAGTAACGTTTTTGTAAAACAGGAAATTCTTGACCATTTGATTGTAATAAAATTATATCAGAATTATCATCAACACAGACAACTTTAAAAAAGATTATTTGATTTCAACAAAAAATTGCCTGAGTTATGAATCATAGATAGAACTACAGTTATCCATACACTCTGAATAGAGATCACACATATTCACATGTTCAATCCTGACATATCCCTAATATATCACAAATATATTTCAGATATGCACTTTCACTTATACAGATCAGCGATATTCACATGTTTAATCTTTACATCGAACAAGAAACCTTAACGCAATAGAACGAAACTTTTTCCGTTCTCTTTATTTTTATTTTTTCCATTTTGTTTTCTTTAACGATGAGGATAACGCGAAGAAATATCTTTATCATATAGAAAGAAGAACAAGATATATCAGAACACTGTATAGACATTAGAACTGCGATAAATAGCGATTTTCTTTTCTTTTTTCTTTTCTCTTTTATTTCATTATATAGCGTTGTGGAGAAGAATATACGCTTTGTGTATATAATACACGCTTGCTCTTTCAGAATGGAACGAAAAAGACTATCGAAACACTTTCATCTCATCACTAGTTTATAGATAAAAAAGTGCAGAATTTCGCGCTGTTTTATACCTGAAAAACTAAGGAATACTGGTTGTTGCTAGCGCTCGTAAGATGTCTGAAAAATAGGAGAAAATGACCTTTTCTTAAATACTTTCCGTGCATATATATATATATATATATAGTAGATACGTCCGGCTATAACGTCATCTAAAAAAGTGACAGAACGCAACAGTGACTATGTGAATAAGTGATCATTTTATTCATTCATCTTATTTGTGACATCCCTAATGCTAAGAAGCTCGAAAAATGTCACAATTGTACGATGGGATACGTATAGGAGGCGCCACAGTCAAGTCGAAAACGGCATACCAGTAGATGTCGCTAGTGGCGCCATCTGCCGATGCGGAATCCTTGGATTCAGTTACCCGTACCTTACAAAACTTACGTTTTGTTTTGATATACGTCTTACAATACACGAAAGAAAAGAAAAAAAAATATGAAACGTATGTAAGTATAAGTCTTGTCTTATCGCTTTCTTTTCGTAAGAGGGTGTGTCTTGCTATATACCAAACGTCAGAACGAAAGAAACCTGTAATAGCAAGACACAACACGAAAAGAACGAGAACGTGTTACGTTGTTCTTACATCCCATCTCTACATTAAATAGATAAATGTATTTTCTTCCACGCCACTTTCGTTCTTCAAGATGAGGAGTTTCACGAAAACCTAGAACTGACAGAAGATTTGGAAATATAGTACTGTAGAAATTATGCTTATTTATGCGTTTCATCTACTTCTTGTTGCTGTATTAAATAAAACAGAGTATACAAGCGAAGATCATATTGACAAAACACCGTCCTATTTTTTTGTGCTCACATTCGACAGAAATAGCATCGGTTCGAGTCGAAACCAAACCAGTCCCATCTCGATTACTCATATATCAACTTTATTATATGACGATAAGCGTACAGCAATACCTTTTTTGTTAAAGATAGCATTACTCATTTTTGATACTGCTGTGTCACATATAAATATAAGGTTCTTTCAAACAACAGCTCGTTCTTTTTTTAAACACAAGTTAATTTTGAGACAAAGTATGCATAAAAAGCAGATGTACGGTGAGTGCAGTACTATAAATAATAGACCGTGCCAGAGACGCAAATGTAGACTAAACGGTGTAGATGATAGATATATGATGAATCTACAGTAATCTTAGCGAAAATAACGATTTTTTATAGTTTTGACTAGGCGTGTGACAGTTCATTTCGTTTCACAATGAACTGAGCTAGTGGACCATTTCTTTCTACTGTCTTCCCCGAACGGAATAAAAGCGTTCTGTTCTGGGAATCGTCCCCCACAACGGAACCACTTTTGTTCTGTTTTGGGAACACGACATTTATGACTCATACCAGTTCACAGTTCGATGAACTGCTCGAAAGAACTGGTTCACTAGCTCAGTTCATTGTGAAATGTTTTGACCTATGATTTTCAGACTTGACAGTCAGTGTTAATCTATGCATGCCTATCAAGTTGGCGTTTCACTATCACCATTTCATCTTTAATCCATCTAAATGGTGCTATTATCGTAGACTGGCGATCATCAACATTTTCTTTTCATTTAACAATTGTTTCAGTGACTCTCTTTCTGGCATTAGTGCTCGCCGTTGGTGTACAAGGAAAACCAGCAGTCATCATGCCATCAATATGCTCAACAACTGCCACTCATCTATCAGGTAAACTTTAAACTAAACTTCTTTACGTCGATAAATATCATTTTGAAATCAAGTAAGGTGCAGCTAATGCAAAATTGGAGCAGATTTATTTTTCGATTTATCATACGTATTCTGATTCCTCTTGCTGAGCTGATCACGAATATCATCTTTAAAACTTTTAAAAGTCCTTTTTCCATGGAGAAAAACCTGAAATACTGCAAGGGTCCAAAAAGTCGAAAAAATGACCTTTATCGTTGAATTAATTTTTTTAAGTTTTATTACAAGATGGACAGTTGAAACTATTTTTTTCTGAATCAGCGTTGGAAACTGATTTAGAAAAAGGACTTCAGTTCATTTTAAAGGTATAGTTTCAACTGTCCATCTTGTGATAAAACTTTAAAAAAATCAATTCAACGATAAAGGTCATTTTTTCGACTTTTTGGGCCCTTGCAGTATTTCAGGTTTTTCTCCATAGAAAAAGGACTTTTAAAAGTTTTAAAGATGATATTCGTGATCAGCTCAGCAAGAGGAATCAGAATACGTATGATAAATCGAAAAATAAATCTGCTCCAATTTTGCATTAGCTGCACCTTATATATGGTTTTTTTGCATTCAAGGATGCTACACAGCTACATAGATATTTAAGGGTTAGATTAAAAGGATGACTAATTTATTCACTCGTTACTATAAGAAAAATGAAATAATAGTTATTCCTTCATTGATTTTGTTTTGTTACTGTCGCAATTTATTTTGCTTTACAGAATGAGATGGGAATTGAAAGAGTCTTTAGGATTTATAGCAATTTTACATTGGCTGTATTCAAGAAGGTGGATCTTGAGTGATCTTCAAAATTCTGTACAAATGTTATAGAAGGTCTACTCTTTGGTATTTCTCAAATCTTACTTGCCGACGCTTGTCTTAAATTGCGCAAGGCAAGAAGGAGCAACAGAATTTAAAAATTTTCACACGATTAGACAAACTTTAGGATAAAAAATACGCATTCTTCTTAGAATAAATACGTTGAAATGTTTCTGTCTAGGATGGTCAGATACCGGTAGTATGATTTATGCACGAGCGCTACATACATCGACCTTATTAACAAATGCAAAAGTGTTAGTTACTGGTGGAGCCAATAATTCTAATCATTATCATAATACTACTGAGTTGTATGATCTATCTACTCAAACTTGGACGATGACTGGTAGAATGAACTACGCACGAGCTGAACACACAGCAACTGTTTTAATAGACGGAAAAGTATTAATTACTGGCGGATATAATATTACAGATGCTTTAAATAGTGTTGAGTTGTATGATCTAACAACAGAAACTTGGACAATGACCAGTAACATGAATTTTCCACGATTCGGCCACATGGCTTCCATATTATCAAATGGAAAAGTGCTAGTTGTTGGGGGATCTAATGGTACTCGTTTTTTGAAGAGTGCTGAGTTGTATGATCCATTAACTGGAACTTGGACAATTACTGGTAGTATGCACGTGTCACGATTTGATTTCACCGCATCCGTTTTAACAAATGGAAAAGTGTTAATTGCTGGTGGAGTAACTGATGAAGATACTTCGGGTGGTAATGAATTATACAATCCATCAACAGGAAACTGGATACCTACTAGTGACATGAATATGCAACGATTTGGTCACACAGCATCTGTGTTAACAAGTGGACAAGTGTTAGTTGCTGGTGGGTTTAGCGATAATTTTACAAATACTGCTGAGTTGTATGATTCATCAACTGGAACTTGGACAAGCACTGGTTTAATGCATCAGGCACAAGCTTTTCACACAGCATCTATATTAAAAAATGGAAAGGTACTAGTTGCTGGTGGTTATAGTTTTTCTAGCGTTTTTTCCAAACATTCTGAGCTGTATGATCCATCAACGGGAACTTGGATAACTACTGATAGTGTAAATCATACACGATATCAACACACAGCAACCGTTTTAATAAATGGGAAGGTGTTAATGTCTGGTGGAGCTACTACCGATGGTTATCTGAACAGTACTGAACTATATTAATCATTTCGAATCAATAAATACATTAAACAATTTTTGATATTAAAGACGACTACTTTCGTTTCCAAATATTATCCTTAAAGTGCAACTGTTTTATTTTAAGAGAGGGTCCGCCAGAAAACCTACCGACTTGTAGAAAATCGTCCGGGATCGAATTTTTGATTTTTGCTTTGATAACACAGAAAGAAAGCTCACTCAATTCTGGTCCTAATCCAAAATATTAGGGTCTTAGAACGTACCTATCAATTTTTACGAGCCATTTTTACGGGACATATCCCGGATTTCGACATCAGGTCCTAAACTTGCATTCTGGACTTCAATGCATTGAACTTTTCTGCACTCAAGAAAACAGTGTTCTGCAAATCCAAATGTACACACGGTGAAAAAAACCCGTAAAATCCATAATCATCGAAAAAACCCGCGTAGAAGAACCACACAGTAAAAAACTACATTATGAAAACCGTAAAATGCAAAAGTATAAAAGGCTATGGAAGTAAAATCGTAAAGATTAAAACCATAGAACAAAACCGTCCAGTTTCGAACCGTCGAAGAAAAACCGTAAAATAAAACCGTCAGTTTAACCTTTTGAGTCCGAAATTATTTTTGCTGGATTGAATGTAATTCGTAACTCTCACTTTTCTCCATCAGAACTCAACTTTTATGTAGCGCTCACACTGCTACCATGGTATAACTATTTCATCAGACTACGAAAGTTTACTTTTGTAGTTCTGCTTTGCAAATGTGTTCGTGCAGGTATAAAATGCTTAAACTTCTATTTTAAAAGATTCATGGAAGACTGGTGCCACGCCCCCACCTGTTCGCTGCTTGACCGATATTGTTACCATTTGACACTTGATGGCTAATCAACATTATATGACAGGAAGGGACCGAATACGATAAATCAGTCATCATTACAAAGCGCGAATCTAATAATCTTCATTCGCAATGGTCTAGCCAAATGACTGTTGCGCACAAATGAAACCAGTTTTCGTGTTGTACATAGTGCAGCAGAGACTTCCTTCAAGTTATAAGCGTCATGACAACATGAATTAGTTCGGTGATCAACACAACTGAACCATCCTAGAAGATCGGGAAAAGAGCGTCGATTGAGATATTATGTTCAACTCAGCTGTACCTTTGTTAAAATCTTGACCAACTTTAACCATTGTTGCACAATTATCCGAGACTATACTCCACAGTGGGCATTTTTTGCTAGAGCAGGCGGACTTTAGCTTTACGAGTGAAGTAAAATTTCATGAACCATTTTTTTATAGGTTTTTCATGATCCTCTTTCTAATGGCATGAGAGTTGGGTTTTGAAAAAGTTTTCTAAGGAGCTTTCCAGAGATCCGGTCTCTGGAAAACCCTTCAGAAAACTTTCTCAATATTTAAAAACAATGCC